GGGGGAGGATCGGGCTATCATGAGACGCGTGCACAATGATGAGTCCGGGTGCTCCTAGATCGCGCAAATGGTCATGATTCCATAAGCAACCCGCGTCTTCTGGCCGGAAATCCGCAAGGCATCTGCGAATGCTGGGATCTTCGATGGAACGAGAGCCTGGGCAACAAAGACACAAAAGCTTCCAGCCATTCAACGTGACCCTGTCCTCGCGCTCGCGCAAAGGCATTCAGGGCTTCACGAGAGGCAATGGACTCTGCATCCTTCCCCCTGGCGGAGGACGACGTTGAGTTCAATGGTCTTGTTGAAACGCCTGTAAAGATTTTTGGCAGCGATTTCCTCAACATTGAGTGTCTCACCATGTGATAAAGGGATTCAACACCAACGGGAGTTGAAATCGCTCGCGATGACGGTGTTTACACCGCCAAACTTCGTCCTGCTCTGTTCCCTAAGATCTCCCTCAACCGCTGGTCAATCCAGGTCAACATCTTGAAAGAAATCATGGACTTCTCGTTAAAAAAAGGTCCCAGATAAATCTGAGCTCCCGTTCTACAGCCTGATTATTTTCTGGAACATTTAGTAAACCCTTGGATAACTTGACAAGTAAATTTGAACTGAGCATGCAATTTCCGCCCACTGATGGCGTGGGCAGCAGGAGGCGCCACAAACAGATTGAGTACATGCTCATCTAGTTCGAGCTCAAGCTCGTTTTCAATAAGAGTACGCCTAATGCCAACGTCAAATGCTCTATCTGGTGATCTATTGCCACGATTCCACAAACTGTCCTGGTCAAAGGACGCTCATGAACCCGGATATAGTAACATAATAACACTTGAAACACGCCAAGATAGTTCTGAAATGACGACTTATTTTGTAACACCTGGAACGTATCCTGGGAAGTGGTTTCTGGATTAGCCCACTGGGGCAGAAGAACTGGAGGCAGCGGAGAAACGCAAGCATCATCCGCGTGTGCTCTGAAGCGACGAAGTGAGGGTCTTGAAAGCTATGCACCATTTCGAAACCGGCGCAAACCTTATTGACGTTCCAACGAAGCCAGCGGAGGACGGTCCTGGCTGAGAAGCGATAGAAGGGTGCACGCCCGCTTCACGGTGATCAACCCATTGCACTGTACACTGTCTGAGATATGATTGGGCTCGCCGATTTGGCGGTAGCCTACCTGTGCTGCAAGAACGCGAGCCACACTGTGGCGGGCTTGGCTGCGGCTGTGGCTGGTGATGGTGCTGTGCTCTCGACACTCGGCGTCTCTCGCTGGACGATCCAGTAATCGCCGGCATTGGGTTTGGCAAAGAACCACTGTAGGATAACCTTGCAATGCATGGATCTTCTGTTGAGCGCCGGCTATCCACACCACACTCCTTGTTACCAGAGCGCTCGGTACAAGATCCGAATGTATAGAGCCAGCCGTCTTGGGGACAGCAGCCCATTGATGAATGGGCTGTCGGGCGGACAAGTGATGGTCGCGGCCATCTTCTGGGCCTCCACGTAACTCTCAATCTTTTCCGCGCGCTGACCTTTGACAGAATGTTTCCGGAGTGTATGCAAACGCAGACGCTGGCCTAGCGTGAAGCATATTTGATGCTCAGTTGCAAAGAATCAGGGCCATACTCAGGTGGTCACGAATGGGCGCTATGGGAATGGGCTACGGCGCATTTTGGGTGGCCGCTAACGGGTTTTCACTCACCAGCGAAACCCCTGAGTCTGAGGAGTCAAATTTGAGCTCGAACAGACGGTCGGCCATCCGAAACAAACTCCAACCATAAAACTGACAAATTATCCATGGCATGGTAGTGAAATATGCGATGAATGGTACACCCGAATTTTGTGTGTGGAGTTGTTGCGCCTGAATCAGTTGTCGTTTTAGGTGCGCTTCAGGCGTTACCTGATTGCGCCTAGTGCCAGGAGGTCTTGCGACATGGCAAGACTCAGGAGAGGTCTTCCTGGCACCTAGCATTCTGTATATAGACGTTCAGGCCTGGCCTGAGGACAGACACAGATAGACAGACCAATCCATGACCTATTCACGATCCTCCTGAATCAACAGGAGTGAACGCCGTGGAATGAAAGTCACCTACGGCACGCCAAGACCGACTTAATAATATGTGGAATGACTATCACTCCAGACCGGAATAGAGTCAGGCAGTAAACTGGGGGGTGTATAACGGTCGTTAGGCTGGGGAAGATGAGCGTTCTGTCGGTCGTACGTATGCACTCAGTAACCAAGCTATCCTCCCACCTCCTTCCTCTTAAGTAGGAAGGAGATTGTAGAAAACGCCCCTGTATCCCCTGATGATATTGTACCTGTGAAATGCCACAATGGTGATTGGGGTTGAGCTTGCCTGAATTCCTCGTCATCGCTCCCAGTCAAATCAATGATTTCTGGTGTTCCATGCCTTTTGCGTCTCTTGGGTTCCGACGCTGAAGGGGCGGTGGTTACCCCTCCAGAGGACAATGGTTCTGTCTTGACCAATGGCATGGGGTTGGGCTTACAACTAACAGTATTGTTTTCGATCGGAATATACCATCTCCCGTCGACTGGGACGGTTACCGCCTCAACACTTTTTGGCGTCTGGTTCAGAATGTCGTTAACAAACTGGTCCAGAGCCAGTTGTTCCCAACCCGCAGCTTTATTGCAGATGGGACATGTCCACGTAGGCGCTTGTTTCTGGAGCTGTAGGTACAGGGCCGCGTCGAAGCATTGCAGATGAACGCAGCAGATACCACGACAGGGCGTTGTGATGCGTGTGTGCCCGACGGGATCCTTTAACGAAAGCACCATAGATGTAGCCACGACTTCATCCGGGTCTTCAGCTTTCCGACGCACTAGAATTCTGTAAGCTCCCACACCAATATGAGGCCCAAAGTGAACTCACTCTCCTGGATGACTTGATCTCTGGGAATCGCACGACCTCGCCTGATATCGGCGACCATTGCGTCAATCTGTTTTTGCAAGACTAGACTGATCACAACAAAGAATTTCTGCGCATTTGATTTGTCCGATTTAGTATGGATAGTTTTTGATGCG